CTTGCCGGCTCCGACCTAGGCGAGCTTGGGCGAGTTGGGCGCGAGATCGGGGAGAAGCGTCCAAAATGGCAGCGTTTTTGTTCGTGTTTCGCCGCCGGCGTAGGTACTTAGACCACGCCAATGCGTTTGACATGGATGACGTTGATTTTCAACGACACTATCGCCTCTCGAAAGACGTTGTAAGGTGGCTGTGCGACGAACTGCGTGACGATCCTGGCTTGAGACGGTGGAGCCGTGCACGGACCGTCGTCACCGTTGAACAGCAAGTCCTCGTGGCGTTGCGGTTTTTCGCGACGGGAAGCTACCAGGGGTTGGTGGGGAGCGACCGAAATCTCTCCGTCCACCAGACTACGGTGAGCTCAGCCGTCCGTGCCGTGGCCGTAGCCATCGTTCGCCGCCTGGGCCCCGCGTGGGTCGCTTTCGCCGAGACCGTGGAAGAACGTGCGGCCACACAGGAAGCCTTCCTGCGACGAGGCACCCTCCCGGGCGTCGTTGGGTGCGTCGACGGGACGTTTGTGGCCATCAAGGGTCCGTCACGGTTCGACCGAACCGTCACCAAGGCGTTGTATTGGTGTCGCAAGCTCCACTACGCGCTAAACGTCATGGTGGTAAGTTTCCATTTTTGGCTCCTACCGAGTTTGTAACATGTGGTCACGTTTGTTGTAATCTGAAATCGTTATAAATCGGGGGCTTGGGGGGGGGGGGGGGGGGGGGCGGGCTGGGGGCTGGGGGCAGGGGGCTGGAGTTGAGGTGACTGGGATGTCCACGACTTGGGGTGCGGAGAGGGGGATGGGGGGGTCACAATGCATGTGTATATTTAGGGTCGGCTAAATTTTTTTTTTTTTTTTTTTTGGGGGGGAGGCCGGTTTGGTTGGGCTCACTGGCTGGCTGGCTGAAGCCCCATAAGCCCTCCCCCTGGCTACGCCCCTGGGTCCGAGTAGTAATTGCTGCACAGCTCTATGGACATTGTAAGAGTGTTGGGAGACGTGCTTCTATTCATAATTTATACCTGTTGATGTGCACCGAAGGCACCGGTAGAAGCATATTGCACAATACTATTGACAGATGCTTATTTCTTTCTCACAGTGCGCGGGATCACTGCTAAGTTGTCTTTTTCAAAATGAAAGGAACGTAACAGATGTACACAAGCTGCGATCATCTGTTTGTCTCTCTCTTATCGCACTCTTATTTGTTGCAGGTGTGCGACGCCAACATGCGAATCCTGGCAGTCGACCCTTCGATGCCTGGCTGCTCACATGACGCCCTTGTGTGGAGGCAGTCTTGGGTGCGGCAGCAGTGCATCGCTGGCAGGCTCATCAGGCACGGGGAGTACCTACTCGGTGAGTGTACCTAAAGTGGCAGCACATTGTCAGCTCGCATGAAAACAAAATGCAGAGTACCCAGACGTTTCTTGACTTTCACATGAACAGATTGCTGTAGAACTATACACCAGTGTTTGGATGACTGGCCTAAAGCAAGGCATCATGCAAAGGCTTACTTTCATGTCCTTGCTCGAGGCTCTGGAGCAGAGATGAGGAATTTAACAGTTCATCTTTAGTGCATTAGGGTCGAAACTGTTGAAATCAAGAAGTGTTGTCAGTTAACCACTGAATTACACTAGGCACTGCGAGAATAGGAAAGAGAGGAGTGGGGTTGATAGGTGCTCCGTGTCCAGCCTCCAGCTGCAAAGAAGCTCCTTCAAGTGTACCATTGCGTTTTATTTCAATCTCATCAAGGTGAGACTCTCGCGGGTAACAGACATGAGAAATACTCTTGGAGATAGCCTCACGGTCCTCATTCCCAGAGCTTCCACAGCATTTTCCAAAAACTCGTTTCCAAGGCGTGTCATCATCACCATAGTCGGTGTCATCTGTAAAAACCTGTTGAGACGGCAAACACCTGATATTGGTTGACAGGTCTGCGGCGTCTCTGGCATGCAAATAAGATATAGCGGTGGTTTCAACAAGTAGTACTCGTTATCAGCACTACTCGGAAACTACAAGGTTAACGCTGAATGCACACCACCTGCTTGTGGAAACGGCATATGGAGGGTCGGACGGGATAAATCAAATTTGGATAAAACACAGCATGTGGTTCACGTATCTGAGATTAGACTTGCTATTTTTCATGCAGGAGACAGTGGGTACCCGTTGGAGCCATGGCTCATGACTCCCGTGCCTGGCCGGCCAGCTGTCTCCACACCTGCCGGGCGTTACAACGCTGCCCACGCCTCAATGAGGTCGGTGGTGGAGCGCTGCATTGGGCTGCTGAAGAGTCGTTTTCGATGCGTGCAAAAACACCGGGTTCTTTACCACCATCCAAGGATCGCCGGCACGATCGTGGCAGCCTGTGCAGTGCTCCACAACATCTGCCTCAGCGCAGGGGAATCGGATCCGGGATCATCGTCGTCGGAATCCGAGTCAAGCAGCGGCTCTGACGATGACAGCGAGGCAGACGAGAGCAGTGACGCAGCACGAGAGCGCAGAATCCTGCAGTCGAGGCGCCTCTACATTGAGGGTAAGGCCATGCGGGACCAGCTTGTGCTTGGAGCTACCACAAGTCATGTGCGTCGTGTACGTCGCCGGCTTCACCGGATCCGCCATCGTGGCCGCCACCAGTGATGGTCTCATACTTTCTAAGTGTAATGCGTGCTCAGTGCTGTGGATGTTCTGCCGGAGCCTTCTAGGACTCCGTGTGTGTGCTTGTACAGTGAGGTCCATGTTGTGCCGGAGCCTCCTCGGACTCCGTGTGTGTGTCTGTATAGTAAGGTCTGTGTTGTGCCGGAGCCTTCTAGGACTCCGTGTGTGTGCTTGTACAGTGAGGTCCATGTTGTGCCGGAGCCTCCTCGGACTCCGTGTGTGTGTCTGTATAGTAAGGTCTGTGTTGTGCCGGAGCCTTTTAGGACTCCGTGTGTGTGCTTGTACAGTGAGGTCCATGTTGTGCCGGAGCCTCCTCGGACTCCGTGTGTGTGTCTGTATAGTGAGGTCTGTGTTGTGCCGGAGCCTTCTAGGACTCCGTGTGTGTGCCTGTACAGTGAGGTGTGTTTACTGCCGGAGCTTGCTCGGACTCCGTGTGTGTGCCTGTACAGTGAAGTCTGTGTTGTGCCAGAGCCTTCTCGGACTCCGTGTGTGTGCCTGTATTGTGAGGTCTGCATTGTGCCGGATCCTACTTGGACTTCGTGTGTGTGTGTGTGTTTGCCTGTGGGTGAGGTGTGTTTACTGCCGGAGCTTGCTTGGACTTCGTGTTTGTGTACAGTGTTTCCACTGTCCTTTTCGCAAGATTCGCAGGTATGTGGATCCTATGCAGTGTTTTGAGCTTTTTGTTTGGTGTTCTTTTGACAAGTTTCACGTGTACGGGTGTCACGTGAGAAGAAGTAGTGAGCGACGTCATGTTTGATGTTCTTTTTTGCAAGTTTCACACGTACGGGTGCCTCAGGAGAACAAGTAGTGACTCTGACGTCATGTTTGATGTACATTTTTGCAAGTTTCACATGTATGGGTGTTCCGTGAGGGCAAGTAGTGACCCTGATGTCGTGTTTGATGTTCTTTTTTGCAAGTTTCACACGTACGGGTGCCTCAGGAGAACAAGTAGTGACTCTGACGTCATGTTTGATGTACATTTTTGTAAGTTTCACATGTATGGGTGTTCCGTGAGGGCAAGTTGTGACCCTGATGTCGTGTTTGATGTTCTTTTTTGCAAGTTTCACACGTACGGGTGCCTCAGGAGAACAAGTAGTGACTCTGACGTCATGTTTGATGTACATTTTTGCAAGTTTCACATGTATGGGTGTTCCGTGAGGGCAAGTTGTGACCCTGATGTCGTGTTTGATGTTCTTTTTTTTAAGTTTCACACGTACGGGTGCCTCAGGAGAACAAGTAGTGACTCTGACGTCATGTCTGATGTACATTTTTGCAAGTTTCACATGTATGGGTGTTCCGTGAGGGCAAGTAGTGACCCTGATGTCGTGTTTGATGTTCTTTTTTGCAAGTTTCACACGTACGGGCGGCTCAGCAGGATGTGTTTTTGCATTAGACTTTTGTTGCGGCATTTCTGCAAGTGTACGGATGAAGGTACCTTATGCAGTGATGCCCGGCTAGCAAAGTGTTTGCTAGAGGGGAAAGGAGCTGGTATCAACACCTTTACCCACGCATCTGTTGAACCATTGATGGAGCACATTGCCGGGCAGTTTATAACTCTTCTCTCAACAGTTGCTTCCGAGGAGGCTCATGGGCTCTTGTTAAACTCAACTGACAAATGTAGTTTGTTATACGCCCTGTTTTCGTCAGCCAACATGCATTGTTCAAGATTTCGCTTGGTGTACAGATTCCTCGGTGCTTGCAGAGGTTGCGAGGTATCTAAAACTTCAGAAAAAGCGCTTGTGAAAAAACTTTTTCACAACATGCATATAGTTGTCGGTCCCTGCCTGTGAATGAATAGGTCACACTGACGCATAGCTTAAGGCAAACAGAACTCGCTCTCAGTTCTAATCTTTATGGGGAAGAATGTTTGATGGCTGCAAGAACAGGGGCCTTGCAGTCCAGAGCTTGCACAGCTGGTTTCACGAGCTCTTCAAGACAGAGGCTTTGGGTATCTCCTAGTCGCAATGCTTTTCAAGGACGGGGTGGGGGGGATATTAGCTCAGCCTCGCAACTTTTGTCGTTACGAGGGAAAAGGTTACATGATTTGTTGTTATTGATGGAAATGAGGGTTAATTTGTTTACATGTTCCATGTCCCTCGTAGGTTGGGACGCCAGCTTTTGTTACAAAAGGTCATACGGCCACCTACATAATCAAGAGCGGCAGTAGTTCATTTCACAGAATGTTCCAGATTTCTCCACGTAAATGTTTGTGAAACATGCTAGAAAAGAAATAAAATGACCACATCTTGTAAAACATCTTTGTTGACAATGATTCATAGAATACTATTAGGAATACAGTCGCCCACCAATTTTTCGGATGCAGATAACTCACACTTGTTCGATATTTCTGGCCTAAAGGAGGAACCGTCACCTACCCGATAGAAAGAGTGCATATTCACAACTGATGTATCGGACAGCTTGAAGTCCGAACGTTTGATTTTTTGGAAAAAAATCGTCGCGGGCGATCACCACGAAGCACCACCGCCGTGCGGCTATTTTTAATTCTTGGTTTGGCAGGCCTCATTGAGTACTGCTAAGTTTACTGCTACGTGATGCTGTATGGGTTTTTTTCTTTTATTCTAGCTGCTTTTCATTATCATCATCATTGTTGTTACCATTTTTCTTTGTTGATTCGCCATTGTAGTTGTGGACTTGCGCCTCATCTCGACCTCGTTTCGGTGGATCGTGTTTTTGGAAAACGCTAGCTTGGACGTCATTGCCCATCTGTTCTTCGCTGCTATGATGTTTTGCTAAGAAGCGCAGAAAGTACTCGACCATAACGCTAGAAAAGAAGGCAGCAATTCTCAAGTTAATAAAAAGTTGCTGAACGCAAACGGGCGTAACCTAAAACAAGGCGCGTTGACATAACCCGAAGTAAGCTACTATTTATGGCTTTTTTAAGCCGGCTTAGACGTAATAAAGGCAGTTTTTTAATCTGCTGAATTTTCAGACTACTATCTTATTCAGACGGTTTTTCAATCAGTGCGAAGTCCGAAAAATCAATTGGCGACTGTATACATTGTCCTAAAAATAATTATGCAGGACTACAAACTCTGTTGCATTTCATAAAAAAAAAACGGGTAGGAGTGACTTAGTCCAACTGCGGCGGTGTTGGGGGCCTGCTCGGCACAAGCACGACGCGCTGGAATGTGGTGGCCAACATGGCCACAAGCAGCAGGAGTGCTCTGGGCACCTGCATGGCCGCAGCCTGCTGTTCCATGGCTGCGGCTTGCTGCTCCATCGCCGCAGCCTGCCGCTCCATCGCTGCAGCCTGCCGTTCCATGGCAGCTGCCTGCCGTTCCGTTGCGCTGCATTGTCGCCTCATTTCGGTTAGCAGCGATTCCACGTGCTGGAATGATAAGAGGTGCATAAGATAACTCGGTTCACAAAAAGTTGCCTGTTTGTCACCATCAACCTGTTTCAACACTCGGTACTCCACATATTTTGGACATGTCCCCAAGACAAGTAAGGCCTGTTGCTGTTTCCAATTGCCCGAACATCATTTTGTTGATATGTTGTTCAACGACATGCGCAATTTAAAGAATATCAGAATGTATATTATTTTAATACCAGTGTATCATGCAACTTGCAGCAATCGGAGCCATCAGTCTAATCAGATGACCTGATAAATCTATAAATTGGAAGCACCCCATAATTTGAACATTTCATACTTGCTTTGCTTATGATCATTCTTCCGAATGATTTGGCTTTCTGGAATTTACTGTCGGGACATAAACAACGGAAACACTGATTATGATGATTCCGAAATAACTCTAAGTACCTCCCCCCCCCTCTGTGTGATTGTCGAAAGGAAATTTTGGGCCGGGTATTGCCGTATATATAGCATCTATCTTTCTCTAGTCAATCTGTAATTTTCCCTGGTCACGCCTGTACCAGGAACACCAAATTGTAATAGCTGTTATTTTTCTCATCATTAGACCATCAATTCTGTACCATAACCGTGCTGCTGAAAGGATAGGAGACAGCAAAGGCATGCACTAACAAATATTGGTACATGCACATGCACCAAGACATGTCAGATGACATCAGCCACCGAGGCAAATGCCGCTTGAGGAAATAGGTCCCATACCCGTTCCGAAGCAGCAGCCCTCGCCTCTGCGAGGTCCACCAGGCGTCGTTGGTCTTGAACATATTCCTCGGCAGCATCATGGCCCCCCTTGCGTTTTCGACGCCGTGGTGCCCGTACAGGACACTGTGCAAGGGTGGTTGACTGGCTGGGAACTAAGGGCGAAAGCAATTGTAAACAAAGTATGAGGTGGACGAGACACAGCCAGTAAGCAGCAAGCAAGGACTCTTTGCCAAGCTCCATGTGCTATCTCAAAAAGTATTAGAAACACCTGATAAATACCATAATATGCCCAGAATGTGCATGTTTCACAGTACATGTAAGGGTGCTACTTTTAAAATGTGTGGAAATTATTCAGAAGGTAACTTGGCCACCCAACTGATTGAACTGACCCGTCGTGTCGGCTGCTTCTCCAAGCACACCCGTGCACGGCAGTCAAGGCTGACGCAGGTGCAACAATTCTGAACGTTAAGGCCTGCCATATGCTATGTATATTTTGTGCAATATTTTTTTCTTTTTAACTGAACATGTGCTTAGACACTAATTTTTCAGAAATCTCACACTTCGATTGCACATTTCCTCAGTATTTTCAGGCAGCACTCTTAATGTGGCCCACATATTGCTCTTCCATGCAGTTATCTTATGGACGCGTGCATTGTCAGACCTCGAGTCTGAATGTAATGTAATAAGCCATGCATTTGTCTTAATTTAGGATCATTCTTAAATTTGTTCTCACAGGCAGGACATATATGATTCGAAACACTGATAGCAATGCTTGCTATAGTAAGAAACTTACCGGATGTGTCGGTCGTGCCCTCATTTCCAGGTGACAAAAGCCTGGAAGCTGGTGGTGCAGCTTGGTGTCCTGTTTATATTTGTTCATATTATGAAGGACACACATCAACTGAAACACAGACAGCATTGCTTAGTATATTGAGCAACTTACTGGATGCACCGCTTGTCCCTGCAATCTCCCCAACCGAAACTCTTGGTGGCGACTCGGGTGAATGTGGTGGTGGTGCACCCTGAAAGTGGTGCAGGGTTTTGAAGGTAAATATCTCCGTCGTCTAATGGCAAGAGGGACTTAGAGACGGAGGCAAAACAATACTTTTTGGTGAAATGGAAAATGGGGAAACTTATTGCTGTATGCTTCAGCAATATTTACAGGTGTCGACACTGCACTATGAAACAACACTCAGAAAACTGTGTTTTGCTTTTCTTTTAGGCTGTGGCTAGGGTTCCCTCCAGACAGAAAAATTGTCATCACTAGGGTCCTGTCGAGACGGAAAGTTAACAAACCTTGTAGACTTCCGTCCAGACAGAATCACATTCACCACTGGAGGTCCATGCAGAGAGAGAACTCTAGCCGCCGCTCAAATTCCGACCAAACTAAAGAGAAACACGCGACAAGCTCCGTCGAGCTACACGGGGGTTGGTCGCTATATGCTGGTGCCCCTAATCCATTTTCGGAGTAACAACTGGCAATGTTCCAGTGTCAAGTTTAATTTAGTCTTTAAGTTAATTGCGATTGTCCCAGCAATCATGTTTTTTTTAAGTTTGTATTTATTGAAAGCCAGGTACAGTGAATGTGGTGGATCATTTTCAAAGTTTTATTTAGGAATGACAACCATTCTAATGCAAGACCTGAGGCGGGGTGTATTCTTATAATGACGGAGCAGTTCCTGTCTCCACTTCCCTCAACGTTTCTCCTAGATTGCAGCATATAGTTTTGTAATTAGTTTTGAACAAAAAGAAGCTTGTGTTGTGCCTCCAGGTTGCAAATATTCACAAAAAATATCCTTAGCGTCCGAAAAAATTGACTGAGAGCTTCTTATTGTTTTTCAATCTTGAAGACGAAAAGACAAAATGCTATCCACTAGGCCCTCTGGACGGAACCCTGCTGGGCCTGCTACCGTTCCACCTGGACAGAACTCTCCTGCGTCTGCTGCTGTTCAGACTGGACTGAACTCTAGACACTCCATTCCTCTTATGTTCTTTAGACTTGTCACATTCTGATCCCAAGCAGATCAGTGTGCATGCTCCATGCTCATTTCAAAACCATGAAACAAAAAAATAACCACATTGGAAAAATCGGCATGTTAGATGGAAGTTTACCCCTTATGTTCCGATGCAGCCTCTTATTCATGTAGATATCCTCGCCAGATAGCACACTTATGTGGTGTGCTCGACACTTGGCCCAAAATCCGTAGAATGTGCTAAGCGACCAGCCTCAATTTCTCGGTGTCCATATATAATACACCTGTATAGGTCCTATGCACAAATAGTCTACTTAGCGCGTCCCAATTTTTCTTGTTTATGTACAATCATTTCAGCTTTAGAGAAGCTTACGTTCTTACCTCTGGCCGACCAGGCAGCTTCACGGAGCCGCAATCGTTAGATGCGTCGTGGCCAACGACGTCCAGAACGACGCCGGCCTCGCCGGGCACCGAGCCGCCGCCTGTACCGCTGGGCAGGAACGTCGAAAAATGAGTTCTTTCTGATTCGCAGGTATACACAGATTGCACTGACGGGAATTAGGAGATCACAGGGCTCCCTCTAGATATCATTGTGGCTCCGTAAGGCCAGCGTTCCCGAACAATGACGGGCACATACAGGTTACACATCAAGGATCAAGGGTCACTACTACTCACCCACTGCTCTGGCGGAAATCTACTGCCTTTTTTTTGGCCCAGGACACCTTGTCCGTCCAGTAATGTCGCCACCGGGCGGGCGACTTTGTGGCTGGTCCGAGGGCGTTCAGTTCAGCCGTGAGCTGTCTCCACAGCTTTTCTTTGCTTTCGCGCGTTACCCCTCCTGTAAAATCACTGGCGGCGCGTGTAATTTGCGGGTGGTCGCGCATGAATGAATACAAGTGCTCTTGTTGAGCAGCAGAAGCTCGAGGCTGCAGTCTTTTAGCTTGCATCGCGCTTTCTTGGCCGTCGTCCATGGTGTTCTATTCGCCCGCGTTCGCTCATAGCAGACGAACAGCATGCTCGCAGTGATTCCTATAAACATATGGGTTTTTACAGCAATTCGCTACCAGGAATACAATTTATTATTACCTAAAGGCTTTGATAATTAGCATCCATGCTTTTTCCGATTTTTATTTGTCATTTCCGATTTAAATCAAATTAAACCCTTCACTGCGGAGCGTAGGGGCAAATCGGAGCTACGCTGGGGAACTCGCCGACGTCGGGGGGGTCGGAAATGTAAGAGGAGGAGTGGGAAACTCGCCGGGGCGGAGTTAAAAGAAGCTCCTCCCCTCCCTCGCGACGCTGCATCGGAGGGATTCCCGCCGAGGCGAGCTTAGCCCCCCTGGTTCGATGACGGCGGGTTCCTAAGTGTTCCAGAGCCTGGGTACAGTGAACTAGAATATAGGGGAAGTGGAAAAAGTGTCGGCGGAGCCCCATCGGTCGTGTGAAGCCAGAAGTGTAGACTGCCGCGAGTGGCGCTGTTGTTGAAATCCGGAGAACACGGCTACACTAACCTGTGATATGGCGTCGCGTACGTTCTCAGATAATTTCTGTGGTGTCTGGTTGTTTTCGTAATTTGTTTTCGTGAATGTCAAGTGCTTGGCATTTTGATTACATAGGTGGTCGCTTAGCAATGAAAACGAAGAGAAAGAAGGCGGATGCGCACCGCTATGCGCTAGAATGCAAGACTGGTTTCCCCGGTTTTCACTACATTCCCAAAGTAAGCTTTAAACATTAATTCATAGACGTTGAGACACCCATAAAGCATACATAGGCCACGCTAATGAACCGCTAAGATCCCAAAAAGCTACGCTTGGCGCGAACTTTGCTGGGTGGAGTGCTCCGGAATCGAACACCAGCGCTACCTGGTAGGTTCTACACGAAGAGCCTCACCTGGACGCCGGCTGTTTCTCCACGACTCCTATTCTAGTTCTCTGTTGCCCGAGCGTGTTCGGGCACGCGACATTTGGCCATCGCCGGATCGTCGTCTTCTCTTCAAGATATTAGAGAGTTTTAGTAGATCTTGTTTTCGGGCCACGCTGTTTGTAGCGGGAGCTCGCGCTGCCCCTTCGATGCATGCTCCGAAGCGCGCGCCTGTAGCAGTAGCGGGCCTTTGAAAACGATCTACTAAAACTCTCTACTACTCCAATCCTCCCGCTTTCGTTTTAAAGGGGTATTCTGCCGTTCTCTTTATGGTCCCCGATTTGTCTAAGCAGTTATTAAACACACCAACATCCATCGCTGAAATAGCATTCCAAATATTAGGCCAACAATATATGTTTTTTTCCGCGAAGTTACTGAATTCACAATTTTGGTCCTCATCGTGTATTTCAAACTGAAAGTCTCTACTGGCAACAGCGAAAAAATGAGGCCAGCGGCAGGCAGGGCTTCACTCTTTGGACTGTAGAGTTTGTTGCCAACTCATTACAAGCAGTTTTGTGGTGTCAAATGAATGCTTTGGAGGCTCGCTAAAGCACGGGCGCAGCAGCACGCAACAAATGTTCGGCGTTTATAAATTTTATAGACTGCCTGCTCGCCTCGCGAACCAGGCTGCCACTGACGTCACAGCACTAAAACGTGCGGGTATATTTCAGTGTTGCTTTTAGCATAATTTTCATTTGCCGATTTCGCAATAACTATGTTGATTTTTGCGATACTAAATAGCATACTCGAACGGATAGACGCCGGGGATTCAGGAAATATAGTTAGTTGAGGTAGCTCAAAAACTGACGGAATGTCATAGGGAGAACAAACAGCACTCGATACGTCGGGTGGCATGCCTAAAGTTTCCGAGGGACGCCGCATGCGGTGAGGATATTGATGAGGGTGCTCAGCCGGAGTCCAAGTTGCGTCTGTCAACGAGCTTCTCTGCATCGCTAAGGTAGGGTCCTTTCTTACGAACTTGGCAAATCCCCAACTTGTCCCGTGGCCGCACTTGGATTCTCTTTTGGACCGAGAAGCACCTATGGTGGTAGAGGGGGTTACCCGTAGATTTGGAAACCGAGTGTCTATGCTTGGTATATAGTACAAGTGAACAAAAATTGCGTGATTTCGTACTTCCACAAGATACCAAAGTGGTCTTCGTCTGGAAATAAGGATTTTCGGGGACCAAGAGTTGCTTTTGATATTTCGAAGGAGTACCCGATCACCTGCCTCGAAACAACGAAGTGGTTTTCGATACTTGTCTTGCGCCAAATATTTTTTGCGCTGATTCACGGTTAGCTCCATACTTGGTTTGATCAAGTCAACACGAATACGAAGCGGTCACTTGAATAAACAGATCAGCTGATGCCCTCTCGGTAATAGCGTCCGGATTATCGCGGTAATGCAGAATTTTGTCCAGTCTTCGCCTTTGCCGCCAATAGTGCCTCCTGATGCAGTCTTTCATGCAGGACATCACGCCTATTAACTGCGTAAAAACCTCACGAACGGCTACATGGAGTGACAGGCAAGATGGCGGCTCCGTTAGCAGACGACGTCCTCACTTTGGGAGCACAGCATCGTTCAGGCACTCTAGAGATGCACGGGAGCGCCACGGTATTTCCTGTCCCACTAGGTTACAGGGGCCCTATGTTGCACGTTTTGAACTCCCGCGGCGACTATGGAGAAGGAAGTGACGTCAACAACGCAGCAAATGCAGATTGGATGTTGATTGATGAGAGATCAGTCAACATCCAATCTGCATTTGCTGCGTTGTTGACGTCCCTTCCTTCCCGTAGCCGCCGTGGGAGTCCGAAACGTGCAACATAGGGCCCCGGGACTAGTGTTTCTTTATTCTTCTCCAACGCGCAGAGATAAGGAAAGACGACGTTTGTTCGAGGCACTAATGATTGTACTATGTTTGCGAGATACTTCCCGAGCTTCATGCGAGATATATAACAAAAGGAAACTCAAAAGTGCGCCACCGACTTCCGATTCCTACCACCTGCTCTGTTCGCAATCTGCCTCAAATGGATCGGAGTAACTCGTGCGGATCATGTCACGCGGCAACACAGATAGGACAACGCTGGACGCGGGTAGGCTTTCGAACGCCAAGGTTCTGAAACTTTAATCTAGAATATGATGGAGTAAATTTTGGAACATTCTGTCTGCTGATGCGACGAGGAACTGAAGGAGACGAGAGGGGACGTAGGAACGTCCAGCTCTCACTGGAAGGATTAGTGACGGAAAGCTAGCTACTTTTGTTTCTACTTACTACTCGAAGAAGTTCAAAATGGAACGGCAAACACAAGACGCCGGCGTTCGGCAATGGAACGCGTTCGAAAAGTGAGTAGAGACGAACCTCTCCAAAGAAGGGCTCCTGGTTGCTTTCATTTTTAGTGTTTGTGCGTATGGCGCGTGATTTGGTTCTGAAGCTAACATGCGGCTTGATCTCGCAGAACATTTGCACGCGTTCTCGCGCAAGCGAAACCACATAGATGAAGTCACGCGCTCGCGCCAGTAGCTTTGTCAGCGTTGTATAGGGAGTCTTCACTGGCGGCCATAACTGTGTGCGCGACTGCTGAGCGCGTGCTGACGGCAAGCTTCTACAGTTCTTTTACAACGCGTATTCCGCACCGTCAAGATTGCTGGTCTTGGCAGCCTATAGACCCGTTGCTCTGTGGCAGGGGCCGCGAGCGCATCCACAAGACGCGACCATGTTATGATGGCTGCACCATCCAGGTGGCTTTGTAACATTCGATTTTACACGTGTCACGTTAGAATACAAGCATCTGTAAATTCGCAATAACAAAAGTTACAAAAAAAATATGCAGCTCGCGGCCGCAGCGTCTTAATAAACATTTCTTTCATCTTTGCTTTCTTTCATAGCTTCCGCGAGCACGTATGTTTCACTTTACGTGATAGCCGAGCCGAAGCTACTCGCAAAAGCACGTCCTCCTGAACGATGCCCGCACTGCACGAGCGCGCGCGCTTGGCAGGGACGCTGAAAGCTCGCAGCTCTCTCTTGTCGCCTCTGCTACGCTGGCACTTAAAATGCAACGGACCAGAAAAAAAAAACAAAAAAACTCTAGTGTGGAAGCGTATCGACGCATGTTCGAAACGTGAGCCAAATATTCTATTTTGCTCGCCTGGAGTGCTGCTCAAAACTTGAGAGCTACACCCTATTAATGCGAGCTCGTTCTGAGCATGCGCTCTAAACAGCGCCCTCAGATATTGTAATCATTCCAAGCAGAGCTCGGTATTCTAACATCCCCTCGTGCTCTCACCTCCTCCACCTCGGTTTCTCGTCGCATACCGAACCTGTTCGTAGTGAAGTTTGCGATATTAATTCGTAGAAAATGGCGCCCACACTGCTCGACCCAAACGGTTGGAGTAGCACCGTTTGACAGCAGCTGACCAATTAACGGAGATATTCTTACGCGAGGGCTTTGCGTTGCTAGCGGGAGCTCGACGCGTCACTTGAAGCGCAGGCTGAGCATATGCCCGGCGGAGCCACAATCCGCATTCTAGGGAAGTTTTAGAATAGGGGGCCCCAAAATAAGAGGGAAATACACCACTGCGCATTCGCAGAGCCATGTCTCGGGTTCACCCCAGAATTCTCAAAAAGGCAAACAAACATGGCGGCGGCCTGCATTGCTCGCTTCACAACAAAAGCATAATTTCACCATTAAGTACCGTATATTCTGGTGTACAATGCGCGGATTATACGTGTTTAAGAGTTGAAATATTACCCGACGCGGACCGTCTACAGGTGCGACTACACAATCATTTTTTTTTTCTAGATCCTTCACTCTGCCAAGACAGGAATCATTTTATGAATAACAGAGTGTATTAATGTTCATTTATGTATGATTCAAGCTTCTCTTTGAGCTAATACAGCATACATCTGTCAAGGTGTGTTTTGTATGATCATTTTTACGTTCGGGTGGGGACTATGCACGGCGTACGGACTATGCTCCGAGTGGTGACTATCTAAGCTAAAACTTTTACTTTCGGCCCCAAATTTCTCCGTGCGGACTATGCATCGGTACGCTCATCGGCAATGAATGCTGCAGCAGGCTTTCGAATCGCCTAACCACGTTTAAAGCACAAAGTATGTGAGCGAGGAACTGGCCCCGTTTTGTTGATCGCCTTCGAAGTCTGGCCGTTCTTAAGCCTGAATGGACGCGATAACTGTTCGCACGAGAGCGCCTCGTGGGGGAAAACGACGCATAGACATGTTCGAATCGTATTGATTTGGACTCGACTTCGAACATCTAAACATTAAATTATTAAAAAAAAAACGGGTAGATTGGGTTTGGCATTACCCAATATTTGTGACGCAAGCAACGCAGAGTGTTTGTTTAGCGCAAGCGTATTATATATATTTATTTCTTTAAATCTATTTTTCACTCTACAAAATCACAGCCCAGCATGGGAACATCGCAGCCTAGAACGCGCATAGTCGTCGCTTTGGAAGGCGAGCGAAACACGCGCCATACGCAAGATCTCTGAAAATGGCACCGACCAGAAGTCCGTTTCTGGATTGGTCTATAGAAGTTCTCTGTTTCCTGTGGTTCTCAGTTATGTGGGTTCCATATCTGGTATGCGGGACGAAAAAATAATAAAACATTTGAACCTGGAATAAGCGAGAAAGTATAGTGAGTCAAAACAAGAACGCATGAAAATCACGCATTTTTCGTAAATTGGGTTTTTCGTAAAGTGGCGTAGAGAGATAAAAACCATGTTTTACCGCCTACCAGAAGTGACGACATTCAAGATGGCTGCGCCATATTTAAGGGCGCTGTTTAGAGCGCACGCTGAAAACGAACTCACATTCATACGCTCCTCAGACCTGCAATTTTGATAATGTGAAATGCTCGTTGGAAAAGAACTTTCAAAACTCGCTGTCAGCACGTGCTCAGGAGTTGGACAAAAACTTACGGCCACCAGTGAATTCTCTCTATACACAGAACAAGCCGTCTGTTTTTTTTCGCCGGGGTTGCGATGAGGTCAGAATGCCAAACTCTTATTGGCTGATTCAAAAAAAGAAAAAAAAAAAAAAAAGAAGAAAGAAAATGAGTGGATAGACTTGAGGTATCTAGCATTGAGGTCTACCCACCATCCTCCCGATCAAAGCCAATCAGAACCCGGCGTCGTTCTGACGTCATCGCAAACTTCACGATATCCCATACTACCTACCCGAGTACAGTTATCGTACCGAGAATCCTGTGCGACCTTTGCTAAGAACATGCCGAGTGCAAGTTCATCTGCTCCTTTTGCAGGGGTTCCGGTGACGTGAGAACGGCGAGCTCCCATTGAAGGACCTCGAGGCAGTCAGCATTGAGGTCTACCCACTATCCTTCAATCAGAGCCAATCAGAGCTCCGCGTTTTTCTGACGTCACCACAACCCCCGTAAAAGAAGCAGACGAACAAGCGCTCCGCATAGAGGTTCATAATTTCCCTGAGGAGTTAAAGAAACCCGCTTTGTAACGAATAATCGAAAACGTAGTGAATGCATAGAGTGTCACAAAACTGATCCGCGTAAGTAAAGATTCAGAATAGACCGTAGAGATTACGTAATCCATTTATGCGCAAAAACAAAAAACAAAAAAAAACACAAAAAAACGAGTGCATTTACGGTATTGCGTGTCAAGGCTCGACGCTCGCGTAATATGTTTTTATTTTCTTTTTTTGGCGCTCACGTAATAGATTGTCATTCTGGCTCCGTTTCTGCGCGTCCTCCTGAGCACGATTCGGAGGATTTCCACGCCATTTTCGCTTCCACTGTCGATTCCACCCCAGTGCATGATCCGTACTCCGCCTACACGACGAGCCTCCTCAGCGCGCCGTTATTGAAACGAACGTTCTTCGGACTCGATCCACACTGCGACCAAGTTCATGCGCATGCAGCGGCAGAACGGGGTGCCGGGGGAAGCCACGGTCAAGGTGAGAAGGGCGTCTCTTTTGAAGGCCTCCGGCACGCGCTCGTTGCTTTTCGGCGAGTGCTCTGGCTGCACGCGTGCGCTCGTGTCACGGGGAGTTTTCGCCAAAGACGACCGCGCTATTCCCCCCGGGGAGGTTTTCACCAAACTCGGTTCACCCTTCAGCTGACACTACAAGCTCCGCCCTTCAGCGCGAAATCGCTGGCTTTCGCAGTGCTTTAATTGGTGGCGCGAGCCTGCGCGTTCACACTTGTGTTAGCAAGGGCAGAAAGCTCGCGCTGAGGGCGGAGCTTCCAGTCTCAGCTTGTGGGAGAACGGAGAGTAACAGCTGTTGCCGTAACAATGTAACCTGCCTCCATGCCCTAGGCACGTTCTGTTTCCCACACTTTGGTCGAGCTGCGTAAGAGGCCAAGACCTGCCAACAGTCAGAATATTACGGTACACTCTTAGAAGCTGGGGGTGTATAGGGGTACGCCCCTTGTCGCACATATAACACCCCAAAACTACATTTGAACATTCAGTCCACTGACGTCGAGCTGGCCGTACGAACTTTTACGAGCGGCTTGATAGCTATTGGATATAACGCACTAAATAGCTAATGCGCGTCAAAGCCTAGAAGAAGAACAAAAAAAAAAAACAAAAAAAAAAAAAAAACAGCGAGGTTTGGCAGCAGGGCCGGAAATGCCTTGATTGTCTTACTGTAGCCTCTAATGTGTACATTAGCTATTTTAATAAGTTGTGTCGAGTATTAAGTCGCTCTTGAAAGTTGGTATCGTCGTTTCGACGTCTGTGGACTGAACGCCGAATTGTTTTTCTGGAGGTCTTACACATGGGACAATGGGTCTCCACCTATACACCACCTGTTTCTTAGAGTGTACACCCAAATGTGCGCGTACATAAATATACCGAAATATTCACACAGCGAAATACCCGCGCTCGTAAATATTCAACCCCTGAACTTTCGTAGCGCGAAATTATCGACGCCGAAACTCGGTCATTCCGAGAGTTTGCACCGTCCCGTCCACCAAAACATGCTGCAGCGAGCAAAAGGCCAGCAAGTCAGTAGCGTGGCCCTCGGGACAGGGTTGTTCAGACGTCGTACACTCCCGGTTGTTGAGGATTGCAGCGGAACATTAGCGGCGGCCAAAAAGCCACTCCGGTAGCATCTCTCGCTTTAAAGTGGAGAGATGAACTAGTTAATAGATTATCTCAAAACAACATACGCCGCAAAGCAAGGCCAACGCACATGAAGCACTTGGTGTTGTGTCACGTCGTGCCCGTTTTACGGCGCGTTTCAGGAATCCCTTTGTCTAGCGAACATTGGAACCCTCGAAGATCACTTAGACCGGATCGTGGTCTCATTCCAGGTGGTCGGTTGGCGTCCAGCCCGCTCGGCTTCGGTGCCTCCGCGCGGCAGTTAAACGACCCCACCAAGAGTTCGCGTGACGGGAGGCGGTGCGGGTAGAGCCAGCACGCGTGATTACGAGGGTCTCTTTTCTTTCCCGCGGCGGTCCCGCTGGCGAGACGACCGACTCCCGGAGCCGCCGGGATGGCTCGATTCCGAGGCGGTCGGACGCTTTCCGCGGGACAGCCCCGGGCACGAAGCGTCCTGGCCGCGGCCGTCGCGGCGAGACGGCCGACGCTCTGGAAGCCACCGGACGGCGCTGCCCGCGCTCTGCTCAACAGGCATCGCGGAAAAGCGGGCAACAGGGCGCCGGCGGCGTCCGCGGCAACACAAAGCGAGCAGCTGGCTTCGCCGGGCGCGGCCTGTAGGGTGCCGAGACGGCTCAAAGGGACACTCACAGACGGCTTGGCTTGCACCACGATCGCCATGACGGACCTCGGGGGGGCGGGAGCAACAGACTGGGCGACGCAGGCCCGACGCTCCGGTGGCCGTCAGCTGACGGGCCGGGAGCGCCGCGCGGCGAGGGGCCCCTCCCGGGGGCTCACGTGACGCGTTGCCCCGGCAACGGGCTCCGAGCCGAGGCCTCCCCGTCCAAGCCCCAGGGAAGAAAGACCGCGGCGCGCGCTGGGGGCGCCCCGCTCGCGAGAAGCTGTTGCTTTTCCGCGCCCCGTTCCGCACAAGGGCCTGCCGGTGAATTTTTTATGCTGGCGCGGTCGTTGCGTATGAAAGGGTTATGGGAGGGCATTGGGCGCCCTCGCCCTAACTGCCAACTTGTCGAGCGAGTTGGTCGTCCCGATTCATCGGGCTCCAGCTTGCGTCACGGGCCGTGCCAGCGGGGCTGGCGAGCGGCCGCGGGTCCGACGCGGGAGCACGCACACCGCGTCCACGTCGTGTTCGAAGGCCGCCGTCGGCTCGAAAGGTTCCGATGGGTGGGAGAACTTCCAAGGTCGACGGGAATATCCGAGGCAATGAGCGTGGACGCCAGAAACGCGAAACTTGGAAACTCGGAAAGTAACGACCTACAGTTTAAATTGTTTATCCAAAATGAACGTAATTAACGCAGAATATTACTGCTCTGATACTATTAGGGAAAGTGTTATCTCGGACACTTCTCCCCCCAGATAAATAAAGTCAATCCCTTACGGTTGATCACTCCGAGGTTACGACTAAGTCTGGACAAATGAGAACACCCTTTGCTTTTGTGACTGCCTGCTCCTGGTTAGCTCGGTTTGTAGAACGCTTCGCTAGTCTCATAGAGGTCCCGGCCAATTTATTCTGACGTACTGCATGTTTCCTGCATACTTGAAACTTTTACGTAATCTCTGCTCAATTCTACGGCAGCACGAAACGAAGGCATACGAGCATTCGCTGTACCAGCTCGTGTACTGCTCACGTCGAAGTCCTCCCTTCACCAATCGCTCACTCGTCGTTTTGCAAACTGACTCTGTAATGTAAGATCAGAGGCAGGATCCTCGGAACTATCGTACGACAAAATACCTCGTAAAAGCAACTTGATCATATGATACAAACTTCCTGGTATTCTCGAAAAAAAAAAAAAATTCTTTACTCCAGCGTGAGATTAGACCGAATCCTACGATAGTCGTCCAATTCCTCTTTCAAACTTCTTCGCGACAATTCGTTGAAAACGAATTGTCGCGTGTTCGTACTTGAAGAACGGCGCAACATCAGAAGAAGCTTACGGCGTGTGCTTAGGAGCCGTCGGACACCGGGGACGATCGCGTCTGATCGCTCTGAGCGATCCTACCCCCTGCCTACCTTGCAGGCCCCCCCCCCCCCCCCCCCCCCCTCCCCCTCCTCCTGGGTTGTGCTAACACCAACTCTTCGTCGCCCGGCAGCTCGGAATTCTTCGCTGCCCGTGGGCGCCCAATGGTGCTTCACTTTCATGCCAGCGGAAGTTTCCAAACGGTTTACGACAGAAACATGAGCCAGACGAGTGCCTCACTCACGGATCATCGACGGGGTGGGCAGTGCCAGTGCGACCTCTCCGAAAGCGGGATAGGCCCTCCACCGCGCCATGCTTATCCGCGGGCTAGGCCTATGCGCCGAGGAGGTGAGGAAGAGGACAATACGAGAGGGCACGGGGGACATCAGAACGCCGATCTCTGATTGGAATAATTAGTGGGTAGACCTAATGCTAGCTGCCTTTCTCTTCGTTGTACTCGTCGAACGCTTTCGATTATGAGACCCAAACGCCGGACGGCGGCGTTCCGCGTTCTAACGCGTTCGACTAGTGCAATGGAGACAATGGTACAGCTAGCTTTAGGTCTACCCACTAATCGTTCCAATCAGAGCTCGGCGTTCCTCCTCTCCCTCCCTTTCTCGGCGCAGGGCGAGGCACTCGACCTCCCTGGCCACGGCCAACCGACCCCGACCGGCTCCTGCGTGCTGAACCGAAGGTGCCCGCCGTAACCCTCGTTTCTTTTTAAATGCACCTTTCCCGTATGAAAAGCCGGAGCCCTGACCTGGATTTTAGGGTTGGCCCTCCTGTCCCTCCATCGTCCTCGTTGGGTGGCGGTGGCGGACCGTAGAAGCCAGACTCCCATCGGTTCCATCTGTTATTTTGTTCGACGTAATGCTCGAATCAACGCCTGAAGGTTACTTTCGCATCACTTGGTACGTCCTTCCTGTTCCTTCAGTATGGGCCCTTTTGTCCTGACGTGACGGTAGCACTCGAAAGATCAACACGAGTCGAGATGGGGCATATCTTCGGATCTGCGCGTGTTGCGCCCAACGCTTTTCCTGCTTAGCGTCACGTCAGCATCGAGTTGCAATTTTATAGTGCGTATGTATGCAGTCTTTATTTCAGATGAAAGACAAGTCCGGAGGGCTGGGATAAAAGAAGGCAAACTTGTCTTCTGACGGGAACCCAGCCCCTAGTTTTTGTACAGTACTCGTACTCAGCAGAAAACAAAACAAACACTGAAATGAATTCTATTGCCAAAAGGCATATGTGGAAAATATAAATGAACGCAACTCAAGAGCCCTGGACACGAACTTCAGGTCACGAGAGACTTAAGATATATGTTACAAATGTCCTAAAGGAAAGGAACCTTTTTTGAGCCGTTTGAACTATGGTAGGGAATGCATTCAGTGTGTCTGGAATTAGATATGAAAGTTGCTAGAAGCCATAATATGTACGAGCTTTGTTTTTTACGTAATGACTACATGGTAGACTGTAGTGTCTGTTTTTTTTAATACGTCTTAAAAATAGTGATTGATCCTCTCTCATCTTGTTAAAAATAATGATTGATATTTTTAGGGTCATAATTTGGTCTGCAATAAACATCTTATATTCCTGCAAAAGTGGCACTGATTGATCATATTTCTGAAGGTTTCCAATAAATCGAACGACCTTTGTTTTGCAGTATAAGTAATTTGCTGATATTTGTTTTTGTAGTTGTAGCCCACACAATTATACCATATTGCAGTCGTAAATAAATACGTGTATAGCACAGTTGCAACTTTAACCACTTTGGTAAATATTTCTGGATTTTACTTAATGACTCTATTGCTCTGGATATACAGATTCTCATTTTCTCAATGTGGGAGTTCAATTGAGGGTTTTTTCAAACAAGAGACCCAAAATTTTGTCTGTTCTAATACGCTCAATTTTTAATTCTTCGAAAGAAATTTTTAACTCGTAGGAAACTGGTTAATTCTTTGATCTAAAAATAATATGTTTTGTTTTACTGGCGTTTGGAAGCAAATGATGGTTTTAACCACACATATAAATTTTCCAGCCAGTTATTGGAGACTTGTTCGAGGTAAAACAGGTCTCTACTTGAAAAAAAAAAAAAAAAGACGTTAGTATCATCAGCATATAAAATAATATCGCAAGATTGAGGCATAGTCACAATGTCGTTTACATATAAAAGAAATAATAAAGGCCCAAGAATAGAACCTTGTGGAACCCCGTCCTAATGGGTGCCAACTCTGACTTAAAACCATGTAGTGTTGTATCGCAATCCGTAGTAGCGACTGTACTGTCGAAAATTGGCCCCAAAGCGGTTACTCAGACGCAAAACAACAGCGTGTTTCCAGCGCTTCGATGAAATACACACCGCACCCAGTGTGGGCAGACATCTCCTGTCGCTCTTGCAGACAGTTTTGTGGTACAAAAGTATCTCGAACGTCGGCTAACTCCCTGATGCCCGGGACCACGAACAACGTCGGAGGTGGCAATATTTTCTCAGGCGTGTCGTTTTGCTAATTAGCCACGCGGGCAGTCTCTTAGCTAACAACGAGAATTTCGTTGACTCGGTAGCGATCGAGTTCGCAGAAGCCACGCCCATCCCGGCCATAGTAAAGCTGGGCCTTTGGGTCCGTTGAAATCAGTGGACAACATCTTACTGCAGGGACACGGTGAGCAAATAAGCGCCGCTGGAAGCACCGCTGCCTATACGTTAGTTGTGGTCCAAGACCCTGGAAAGATGCCGAGCTTTCCCATTGGCTCTCAGTGCTGCTGAAGACGCTGACGCCATAGCAACAGTCCGCTGTCACCGCAGCAACAGTCCGCTGTCGCGGTGATCGAGAACTTGCGGGACACCGGAAGTTCTCGTTTTCCTCTCGTTTTCCTCCTATTACTTTCAAAAGCGTTCGGGAATATCGCTTTGAAAACTTCTTACGACGTGCGTAGCTTAAGAACTCGTTAGCAAAAAATGTCGTAAGAAAAGACGTTCTTTGTGAATGCGACCTCTGCACGGGGGAGTCTAACGAAAGTTGGCGATTTCTTCCTGACATTTGCGTAAGGGCGGGCACTGTCTCCTCGACTTCTGTTATGTCCCACTGCTCATACTTGGCACTTGGCTCCAGCCGCAATTTTACCTGCACTAACCCCTCAGGCGTTTTCGAAGCGCTTCGCGCGTACGAATGCTTTCAAGATATCAGCGGAAAGTTCTTGCATAACCAATCGAACCACACGAGAAGAGACAGCGTCTGCGGACCCTAGAAATTGTCTTGGCAGTGTGAGCGCGCCGTTAGGTCGCACACGCCGCACTGAAATTGCATCGCACCTCCTCCCTGAAAGTTGTACGATCATATGTGGGCTTGTGATGTGCCCTACAAATGTCTGGGTTCGTGCGGCTGGATGAACTCCCCGATCGGTCATGCAGCTCCGTTTCGCCTCTTTTCCGGGCCATAATTCTCCAAAGCGAGAGTCTAACCGTGCTCCTATTGATTGCTCAACTTACTTACACAGAACACAGAGGCTGCCAACTTTCCCGCGGTTGTTTTCTTATCGCCACCAAGATTTGAAATACAACTCGTTGTTTGTGACACACGTCGGACTCACACGACATTTTCAGCGTCTACTACAGCGGCCTTCTTTATGTGACGGCCAGAAAATTACGGGCAAGGAAGCGAGAAAACAGTAATATTGTAGCGTTTGAAGTTTCATACGACTAGGAATATTTTTGGACGAGGAAAAGAAAAGTCATATTTTTCGCCCACAATGTGCGGA